GTATTTTTAATAATTAATTTAATTGTTGGATACTGTGATTTAGTTATTGGAATAATCGCTATTAAATCATCCATTGTAACTTCATGTAATTCTAATGATTCATTAATAAGATTAAACACTTCTAGCTTGGTAGGACTAGTTTTACTGGGATATCTATATAACATTATATTACTTCGATGTTGCAAATTAACCATATTGTCCATTCGATATTGCATACTTTCATTTTCTATTTTCAAATTAGCAATTTGTTGTTCAAGATTGATTATTTGGCTATTCATTTTTTGATTCTGGACTTTAGTTTCTTGGATACTATTACGAATCTGGTCCAAATCTTCTTTGATAATAGTCATTTGACTTAATATTCTCGTATTAGAAACATTAATTAATTCAGAAATTTTATTCCATAGTGTTATACTTGATATATCAGATGAATTTTTTCCTGGCGAAGAAGATAAAAAATCATATGGCTCACCTGATAGTTGAGAACTTGGAAGTGTAGTTTCAGGGTTCAAACCTACGTTTGCAGAAGATAGTTCAGGAGAAGTTCTTTCGACGTGTAAATTGTAATCAGTAATTAACCTGGTATTAGTGGTCGAAGCAGTTTCCTTTCTACTAGTTGATTTTGACTTTTGAAGTGGTGGTCTTCCTCTTTTAATTGGCGAACGTTGCATATTAATTATGTTGATAAATTTTCCAACAACTTATAATGTTAACACACAGCCCAAACAAATAAAATTTTAACGTAAAATTATTAAACAGGATACATTCTTTACCTATATTTGAAGTGAGTAAAAAACGCGCCAGCAGCTTCGGCAGACAGAAGCGCCCCCCACTATCTGAAATTTTACAAATTTGGATTTACATGCTAATTTTGAAATTTAAAATTATTCTAATATAATAACGAATGATTTTTAAGCTTATTTAAATTGCTTTCATTTTTACTGATTAATAACAAAAATAATCATCAGTCCTTTAGTTTTTTTAAGTCTACATATAAAAACACTCTTCATTTTTTATAACTGCATTTTTTTATAACTCCATGTGATAAATATTTATGATAACAAAGTTTATAGATATTTGAAAAAAATTTTATTTACTTTTTTAAAAATAATCTACAGATTTCAAATCTTTTTTACAAGAAATTGCAAAACTATAAAAAAATAAGTTATTGATTTTTCTAAATAAAAAGTTAACTTTGCCAGATATTTTAAAAATCACATATAAATATTTATCATATTTCTGATGAAAAGATATTGAAAGAAAAACAAATTTTACTTTAAATTCTTTAAAAGTATAAAATCTCGGGGATTTATTTTTAATTTTCATTAAATGTCCAATATTCACTTTATATTTTAAATATTTCTAAAAATAAAGAATAAGCTAATATTCAGATTTTTTGATAGAAAAATATTCTGTTTTTTCAAAACAATACAGAGTACTTTTCTGTCAAAAAATATTTGAATTTTTTTAAAAAGAGCAGAGTTTATAATAAATATTTCTTCAGTTTCTTATTTTATAAGTATGAATTTTTAATTTAAAAACTAATTTTTCAAAGTCAAACTTCAAGTTTAAAAGTTCTGATAAAGTTTAACTTTAAATAGGGTATATGTTTCTAAAATCATCAGTAATAAATAAAGTTTTAAGATGTTTTTTTTTTATTATTAAGTTTAAGATATTTATACTGTATTTCAAAAGAAATAACTGACTGACTAAAATTTTAAAAATAATTATATATGATAATTAAAATTACAATATATAATAATTTTTTAATAAATTATTTCAGATCAGAATTAGAAGCAACATATGCTAAAGGTCTTCTAAAATTAGCTAATAAAATTGGAAAAATTACTAGAGATGGAAATAGGTAAATTTTAAAAATGTTTAATACACTAGCATATCTATTATGTATTTAAATAATATAACTCACTGTTATGATTAAGATAATCACAAATATAATTAAGATAATATAATAAGTTTGGTTTAGATGTAGCTTATTTTAAATTTGTAATATATTATTGGCTTTGTAGTCATTGAAAGAAAATTTATATTATGAATTAAAACAATTTTTAAGCTTTTGGAAATTGAAATTTCAAATTTTTTTTCAAAATCTAACAATTGTATAAAGATATACAATAAACAAATATTTATAATCAATATTTTATATTTTTTATCTTATTTAAATTATTCTTGTTGCAATCTAATAACTGTATCCATTATTGTGCATTGTTTTTTATTACATGATTTCTTCCAAAAAGTTTTTAGACATCTTAGAAAATATAATACGAAGTATGCATTTTTACCATTATTATTTAGAACTATAATGAACTATTCACTCTTCTGCTTTATTTTTCATGCTATTAAACTGATATATCAATGAATCTATATTATTTAAAACAGCTGTTTAGATTGAATATAGTTAATGGAAAAGATTGTTATAGAATTCATAAATTCTGGAAGAATTTTTTTTCTTCTTTTCAGATTAAATGAAATATTTGAATACTTTGTTATAAAATATACATATTTATATAGAACTATATTACATTTCCTGACATCAAATTAATTTATTGATAAACATATTGCCATTAATTGAAGAAAGTTTGATATTGTAAATATAACTTATAGAAGAACTTAGATTTGCTACGATTTATACTTCAGAATAAATTCTCACTTTGTTTATTGCCAATTATTTGAGGCTTTCCTGATTGGTTAATGATGATCAACTAGTTACTGTACTTAATTTTTATATATGACATAAATTTCTGTTATCTCATCCAAGATATATTTTGTTGTTTATGTTAAAATGATGTTATTTTGCCATTAAATTATTTGTGAAGATATTTCTATTATAACTACAAATAAAATTTATCATTAAACTTGGATATTAGGAAGTACTTTCTTGCTTTTAAATATATACAGAATAGACCCTGTTCAATGTAAATATGGATATTATGTCATTTACTATTATGTATTTTTGAATTTGATAAGTTAAAATACAGTTATAAAACTTCACTTATTGTAAACAGCAATTGAATTCTGATAGCATGAAAATAGCTAATAGTGCATATATAACATAGCTTATACAGTGGGTGATCAGTTAACTAATATAATCCGTTCCAAGACTTTGTTCATTAACCAATTATTGATTTACCATAGGTTTTTATGGGAATTTGATTAATTTGTTCCAGAGACTCCNTGCAATTATAATATTCTAAATTACTAATTAAAACAAAGAAAAAGTGTATTCATAATGTTTTTGTACAATGTGATCTCATATTTATGACTAGCATTGTAGAAATTTGAGTTAGCTTATGAAGTTAAATTGATTTAATATTTCTAAATAAAGTCTTTATTAATAATAAAAAATTTTTCTATAACAGGGTTCAAATGGATTTGATGAGCTTCGAAAATATATTAAGCAAGGAGCTGATTTTAATAAGGAGATTGCTTCAGTATTACAAGAAAGGTAATGAAAATAGTTTTTGAGCAAATAGTAGTTTTCAAAGATATTTAAAGATTTCAAATTTAAATTTAAATAGAATGAAGAGTTGTTTAGATTTTATAAGTTATTAAAAATAATCTAATTTTCAACTTAAAAAATATTTTGAAATATTTACTTTGAAATGTTTGGAGAGTTAAGATAAATAATTCATTAAAACTATCCATAAAAGCAGCTCTAATTCTGTAATCTATTTGATTGTTGCTAGTTATACTTACAAATATCTTTGATTAAGTGATGATTTATTTGGGTTTTATAATAATAATAGATTGTCAAAAAAACTGTATTAAATTTAAATGGAATTTTTCTGACTAAAAGAAAAATTAAATAGTATATATAGCTTATAAAAATAATTTTTCTGTAACTTACTATTCTATGCTTATTTGTGTGGATATACAGTAATCATTGAGAAATATATATTGAATATTACTATTTTAATAACAAACACAGAACCAATTTCCTATGTGTATAAACAAAAAACAATCTTTGCACAAACATTTTCTAACTCCTTCTGAGTTGTTATTCAGGTATGACAGAATGGTTACCTGATGGAACATCTGTTAGAACAAACCTAAATTTATAAAAGTTTTTAAAAGAATGTAATTCAAATGACCATTTGAACTATAAATATAAACTTAAAGCTGTGCATGTATTAATCCTGTGCATAACAATCAATACACTAATTGTTGTATAAGCTCCACTGAACTTGTGATTGCGTAGGGATATCCTTTTAATTAGGCTGCGAGGAGGATGTGAATGGCCTTTTCCAGTAATCAGATGGGTGCCCTGGCTTTGTCTATAACCAGATGGAGCTGTTGCCCTTGCTTATGCATCTTGGCAAATGCAAACAACCTAGAAACATCTGGAGAATCAAGAACTATATTACCCAGAGCCAGTTGTCCAGCTAGCTTAGTACGGGCAAAATGTTTAGCCTTTAGCCCTAGATTGTAATTTATAGATGCAAGGGCAACATCTTTATCCAGTTTAGACAGAGCCAAGGCACCATTCGACTACTGGAAACCCACCCATCCATCCTTACACGATCACAAGTTCAGTGGCATTCATACAACAATTAACCCTCTCTACCTATACAGTGGATCCAGAAATTGTGGCAGACTTCTCCTCGCAACATTGCATACAGAATGGTCAGAGGCCAATAGAAATTTTTAAAGCTAAATTTGCATCATTATGTATAAATTTTAAGGAGGAAATGGTGTTGTCGATGGCCTGGCAGGCTCTGCTTGACATGATGGTATAGTCTTTAGTGGATTGATCATTATGTGGAGGTTTAAGTTTATATTTATAGTTCAAATGATCATTCGAATTATGTTCTTTTAAAAACTTTTATAAATTCATGTTTGTTCCGAAGGACATTCCATTGGGTAACCATTCTGTTGCACTTGAAGATTTTCTAATGCACAGGAAGCATTAGAAAATGTTTGTGCAGAGATTGTTTTTTGTTTATACACACCAGAAATTGATTTTGTGTTTGTTATTACATATATCCTGGTATGGTGTGATGTAAATTACTATTTTATTTTAATAATGCTTCATTAAGATGGAAAAGCTTGCAATATAATTTTGGATTCTTCTTATTCAATTCAAACACTGCTTTGTGAAAATTTATTGTAAATTATCATTATTTTTTTCAGTAATTTAAATATAATAAATTTTCACAAAGAAAGTATTTAAAGTGAATAAGAAAAGAAAAAAACTATTTGTAAACATTTTTATCTTTATAACAATAAAGACAAAATGATTTCAAGTATAAATTCAAGTAAAATATTCAAGAGTAACAGAATAAAATTTATAATAAGAGAAAATGTTACAAAGAATTTTTTTAATGAAAAATATGAAAAACATTCAAAATGCAAAGTATCAACTGCAATTTGTAGTATGTTATGATGTAATAGGTTGCAATTTGTAGTTAGGTTATGTTGATTCTGTAAGAAGGATTATCATTATACAATGTAAATGTCTAAAATGCTAGCTGAGACTTTGTTTTAAGCTTTAAAATTAACTCTTATATACTATATTATTCTTGAATTATTGCAAAACTATATTAATTGCATTCTTGTTTAATAATAAATGAGAAGGAAAATTGTGTAATAGTTTTTATAATTCATTAAGAATTTATTATTTTCGTAATCCTTTATTTCTATTCGATACAATCCAGTTTGTTAAACATAAGGATTATATATTGACATTTAATCTATATGTTGATATGAATAATATAATCCATATGCTAATATTTATATGTTAACAAACTGGATTATATGTTGACATGTAATTCGTATGTTAACATATAGAATACAAATGCATTCTATATATTATAATACTGATATAGTAATATGTATTCTATATAATATGTATTTTATATGGAACATATGTATAATAAATAAATATATGTTCCATATAGAAAAACTTATTGCTAAGCCATAGTGTATTTGTTTAGAATACTGTTTTAACTTTTATTTTCAGTGTCATGCCAATTTTATTTAGCAGCAGTTAAATTACAAAAGCAATGCTTGTTTGTCATTAAGATTGAAAATATTTTGTTTTTGTAATTATTTGTTTTCTAAAAAGTCTTTTAGAATTCTATAAATCTTAATTTAAATTGTTTTATTATAAGTTTGCAAATTTCAATGTGATATCTAATTTAAGATAGCTAAGGTTCAAAATTTGACAAAATGAATTTAACAATGAAATTTTAATTGACTTAGTCCGAAATCCTGTCATCTTTTAATTATTCTTTACTTCACAACTGGGTGCAGATATTTGGTGTGTAAGATATTCCTGAATAAAGAGTAATGTTAAAGATACCCAGTGTTTACCTATACACCCAGTTGTGAAGTAAAGAAGAATTTTTTGAGTTCACTGTTGGGAAATTTTAACTGTAAATATATGTATTTTAAAAAGGATGTGTATTAGTTAGTGCCTCTTTACTAAATGCCTTAAAGAACAAACCGACAGAAGAGGGGGAGTATGTCCGAAACACATATTGGTGTGAAAGATTTTCCTGAATAAAGAATGATGTTAAAGATACCCAGTGTCTACCTATGCATCCAGTTGTGAAGTAAAGAATAATGAAATTTTAAGTTTGCAATATAGTTAGTTTATAACTACAAAGTTTCTGTTAAAGTTCTAATTAAAAATATCATAACATGCTCATTTCCATACTTATTTGCTAACAATTGTTTTTGCTCATCTATATATTTGCTACAATTGTTTTACAATTCTCTCTCACCAACTTTCCCCATCCAATATTCGATAAAATATGTTCTCAATATTAAGTTAACTAAATTACCTTGTGATGTTATGATATAATGGCCAATTTTAATTTGTCAAATTATGCATGTCATTTCAACTGAGATCTGCTGACATAAGCATTGGCAGCCATCAGTTTTTAAATGTGGGTGTGGGTTTTTTGCCCTTCTAGTAAAACAAACACTCTAAAATAAGAAAAAAATCTGAAACAAAATATAATGACCCCAGAAAATTAAATAATAATTGGCCTCAATTCCTCACACTATGATCAAGTATCAGTTTTTAAACTTGGATTCTTCAATTTAATGATTTAATTTTTCAATATTTACTTTTAATCATGTAGTTTTGTAAATAATAAATTTGTTTTTTTTTAATTATTATTAAAAACAGCAACAAGTTTGAATTTCAAAGGACATAATAAAAAAATCTTTTTTGTTTTATATTGTAAGCATTTGAGGAAGTTTGAATAAAATGTCAGAATTCTAGTTTGAAATAGTGTTCATTTACCTTTAATCTTAGACAGCAATATTTATAACCATATAACCTTACAAATAATGTTTATAATCATATAGACTAAAACAAAAAATATAATAATGGATTGAATTTAGAATTTAAAGATTTCATTTTCAGTAAAATATGCATTCATACATTTAAATACAGTTTATATTTTACAGATTACTATTAAGTTCCCATATATATCGCTTTGTGTATTATTAAATATATTTACAAAATATAATGTGCTTTGAATGTATAAGCTAATAAATTATTTGGAAGCAGATTTTCATTATGGATAGTTTAATTTCAGATATTCTGTATAAACTTATTGCTCAGCTTCTTATTCATTTCTATTTATTAATTTTGTTTTTATCTACATGTAAGATACATATGGTGTTTTACATCATATGTTTCTTTGGTAAAAGCTTTTCAAATTTGTAAGATTTAAGTTTAAAAATTTAATATTTGAAATCTTATTTTATGAAGAAAATATTATTGAATTAAAATAAAATAAACTTTAAAGTAATTAAATATTCTAATAAAATAATAATGGATTATTTATTTTTATTCATGTATTTAATATATTAGTAAATGATATATTTTTTCCCTTATCAACACAGTTACAAAAGTGATGATGAAAAATGTGTTGAAATCAAAACAAGTAACTTCACATTATCTACAATACATAGGTATTCTATAATTAAAGTACTTTCACTTTCAGCAAGAAAAGCTTCCTCAGTTAAAGTTCAAAACAAAACAAAATTTTTTCTTGTTTCAAATTTTAACTGAAGAAGCTTTTCTTGATGAAAGAAAAAGTACTTTAATTAAACTACTCTTTGTATCATGGATAATGTAAAGTCATTTCTTTTGATTCAACTATTTTCTGCAAGATAAAGTAAGAAAGTTACTTCAATTGTATGAAAAATATGTTGTTTAATTTAATAAAAAAAATTTTAAATAGTTTAAGTGTTTTTATTTTTAAATATGGAAAAAGTAGTTTTCAAATTTGTTCCTGGTTCTTATAATAATAATAATAATAATAATAATAATAAACACATATGTCATTCCAGTACTCACATACTCTTTTGGAGTTATACATTGGACTCACACAGATCTCGAGCAACTCCAAAGGAAAACAAGAACAACACTTACTAAGCATAAACAACATCATCCTAAATCCGCCATAGAAAGATTAACCCTTCCAC